ACGCGCATGTTTTATAACAGATTATATAATTAGAATAATTACTCTTGCCTTCTCAAACGCATGTAGTCGATCTATTGCTTTAGTTGCATTTTGAGACCAACCTTTCAAATACCGTGGCTTTCGCGCATTGAGTTTCGAAATTCGATGTCGCATTACCAAATGGATGATTTTTTAATCGAGAATTTTGATTCTAGGAAGTTTAACGTGATATAGAAATTGTGCGTGTGATGTATGCGTTTATGAATACTTGCGATCCACATGACAAATTACACATTATTCTCAAATACATGCCGGCATTCATTTATTCGCTGTTTGTTCATTATGAGGCGCTCGCACCTCCACGCACACGCACACGCACACGCACACGCACACACACACGCACACACACACACACACACACACACAACGGCGGCAGCATGCGTGCAGACAGTGTCAGGCCGGGGCGGATCTAGGGGAGTGTCCAGGTGGTCCAAACCCCCCCTTTAATTTCAAAGTGCCCCAAGAGTCAGTCTGCTCAGATGCTCTCAGAATGCACCAATTTTTTTTTTCTTGGAGGAGGACCTCCAACCCCCCCCCCCCTAAGTGGCATAAGCTGCCTTCGGCAGCTTTTTAAAACACCAGAAAAATTCAGCAGAAAAAAGTGCCCTTTATTTCTTCCAGGACACCCCCCTTTCAAAAATCCTGGATTCGCCCTTAATTGTCGGGTCTGTGGCAACCACACTGACAGCCCAGCGAGGAGAGTAGACCAGTGGGTCGGCAGCTGCAGAAATACCTGCAGAAAACCTCTGTGAAGCCAGCGAGAAGATGCTGAACGCGTGTGGATGACGGCAGACGAAAATGCCGCGGGGGGGGGGAGGGGGTCGCTGCAATGAGAAAAATGCAAACAGATATATTGGCGGCATTCGGTTCGAATAACAAAGGTCAAGAGCAGAGGCACGAGGGGGTTAGAGTTTAAACTGATAGTACATGCTTTCCCTGCTCACAGGCCTTCCCACTGCAACTTGGTCATTTCCGTAAGGTTCGGAATTTCAGGGAACATTAATTGCCTCCACTTCCAAAACCAATTCGATGTCGGCAGGCATAACACACCCTTTACCTTAAATACTGTCTGCATCGCACTCTCACCTGTCAATACACATGAATCGGGGTTTGACAGGTGCACTCATACGCTCCAAGGTTACCACGGGAAAAAACGTGATTTCTCAGGTAAAGGTCAGCAGAGTAAAGGGTTATATGCATAATGTGAGAGCTGGGTTCAGTTTTTCAGCAACATGCAGGATTATTTTAACTTGTAACTAACACGATAGATAATTATAATCGAAAGAATGACGAGAACCTGCAAGAAGTGCAAGTATATTGTATTAAGCTGCACCTTCAAAACTTCCTCATATATAGGTTAACGGTGCACCTAAAGCCTGGAATACACACACACACACACACACACACAGTGACACGCACACACACACGCACGCACGCACACACACACACACAGTGACACATACACACACACACGCGCGTACATGCTGCATGCAGACTCACATGGTGCGAAATTCACGGGAGTCTGGAGTCAAATACTCCCCGATTTACTGCCGGACTCCCTGATTTGACATATGCAGGAGTCCGTGTAACTCCCTGAAAATTCTGCCATACTAACTAGTTCTTTCCAAGGCACGGCCTCGCGGAATTACCATATTTTCTCAGCTAATGACCAAAGAAAATTTGGCAGACGTGCAACCGCATGAATCTTAAAAATAAGCACATGTATGCGTTATTGTAAAATATCTTTAATTTTGAACTTCAGACTGCGGACTCCCTCATTTTGCTGCGGACTCCCTCTTTTTGAGGGTAGGGAGTCCGTTGGACTCCCGTGTTTAAAAGTTAATTTCTATCCCTGGACTCACATGCATAGGCTGCACACACAGCGCAAAACTTGCGCACAAGCGAAAATCTGCAATCGTGTATTTAGCGCGCACAAATTTCTCACAGAACTAAGCGTGTAGTAGTAACATTGGCACGTGCGAGTCGTGACTAGTGGTTGCTCCGGCCACACTGCCCACCTGATGGGTTCAGCCGACTGGACGGTCCTCAGACGTCCAGCACACGAAGCAGTCACAGGTGTTTGCTCGCCCTCCCGACCATTGTCGCTCGATATAGATGGCGCTGTGCTGCTATCACTGTTCGGGTTCGGAGTGGGCATGCTGTAACATGAGCGACATGCAGAGAGTTGTAAGTGTGTTCCGCGTAAGACTACATTCCACACAAACCGACACACAAACGCATGCATGCGCGCACAAACGCACTGCCGCGCCCGAATCGAAATAACTGCGGGCAACAGAAGGTGAATTTTGTTGCACACCTCTCTTTATATCGAAACAAGACGAATGCACGTTGCATTTAATTTCATTGGTGTTTTCACACATATATCTTTTGTTTATATATTATATTTATATAATATACACACATATACACATCGGCCATTAACGCGCAGACTCCCTTAATTTAATTACCAGGGTGCGAAGGACGCAGGGAACACGCAAATAGGGATGCATACCTCTCTTTATATCGAAACAAGACGAATGCACGTTGCATTTAATTTCATTGGTGTTTTCACACATATATCTTTTCTTTATATATTATATTTATATATATATCATCACTCTCTAGAGACCACGCGTAAACAGATGCCAACACTACTGACTACCCAACTCTGCACTATCCATTCGAACTAATTCATGCATCATTTGATTTGCAAAATTTTGTCGTGCTTGCTCATGTGAACGGAATGACATAACGCCTGTGCACGCCTCACTTCCTCGCTGCTCTCCCACCCCCTCCCCTAAAACTCACTGCGTGTGTATTTGTTTTGATTTATTCAACGATCACACACTGCTCTCTATACGGACCCACTGCTCACTAAATTTACGCCTGGTGTATGTTTTTATGTATTCGACGATCCCACACTGCTCTCTCTATACGGAGCCACTGCTCATAAAATTGAGGGTGTCACTTTCCCCCGGGCGTAGATGGAGGGTGCCGCTACGTGGCAGCACTAGCCCTAACCCTAACCCAAACTCCACGACAGATGGCGCTCTCGCTCTGGCTCAATTCTATTCAGGCAATATCCTGAGTGTGGGAAGGGGGCGCTGCATGCAGTTCGACCCTAACCTTAACCAAAGAGCTTATAGTAATCATTATAAGCTCTTTGCCCTAACCCTAATCCTAACACAAGTGCAGCCACATCACGTGACCCTCCATCTACGCCCGGGGGAAAGTCATTCCGTAAAATTGACGCCTTGTGTATGTATCTTTATTTATTCGGCGATCCCTACTCTCTATACGGACCCACTCTTCACAAAATGGTCGGCGCGTGTGTATTTGGCGAACGTAGGTACATGATCGTGTGTAGTGTCATGATAGCTAGGCACGACGATTCGCCTTGTCGGATCCGCAATCTCAATACCCTGCAACCCTTAGCGTATAGTTCGTCATAGCTTTGATTGACTGCACTGGATGGCAAGGCGCGATGGAATGAGTCAGAAGCAGGAGATAGGTGCTTGGAGCGATAATCGACGCGTGGCAAGGGTAAGCGAGTGTATGATGGCTCTCCAGGTTCCCTCAATTAGCAAAGATCACAAGAGAATTAGAAATTAGAAATAGCAATTAGAATAGGAATTAGACACTGTAACATGCAATGGAGTCTCGACTGACTCAATGACAATGCTGTAGCTATAGTGACTGTTTTGTTTAGATACTGATTCGGATCCAAGAACGGTGCTCAAGCAAGCGCAGCGCAAGGTGAAGCAGGAATTCAACGTCCTTGAGTCACAGTCAAGGTCGAAGATAGATCAAATGTATACGCGCTGTTAAAAGATAGACAGTGTTGATCTGTCTATTTGATCATCTTTCTCTCTCATCACGTAGTGACCCGAGTTTGCTAGGGGGGTCCGGCATGCCCCCCGGAAAAATTTTTGATTCTGAGATGCAATTTCCTGCATTCTGAGGGTCAAAAATGACAATAAATTGACAACAAATGACAATAATTGACAACAAATGACAATAATTGACAACAAACAAAAATTTCGATCACAGTGAAATTCGTAGTTTGATACAAACTGGTCGTAGTGGTGCAAAAGGAATAGAAATTCGTATAAAATACGGATAAATCGTAGTGGTTGGCATCTCTGATGCACGTACGCGTACGCACGCACGCACGCACGCACACACACGCCTCACGACACGCTTCATCATACCTCCCGATAACAGATAGTGCCCGATCTCACAGAATCACCTCGATCACTGAATGGTCACTATGCGGTCACTACGCAGCACGGCCGATCGCCGACACACAAACTCGAGTCGCCATCCCACACGAGTGAACGCGGGACGGTAAATGAAGAGCGCGTGCGCGGCGAGCGAGAGAGAGAGCTCACGCCTGCTACTGTGGTTAAGAGGGTCTATGTCCCCCAGGGTACTACCGGAACGTACCCTGGGTACGGTCAGGTATACCGGAACGTACCCCTGGTAACTACCTAATATGCCGGACCGTACCTCGCCTACTCCACTAACGAGTCTAGGAAGTCGCCTACGCCTACTCCCTAACCCTAACCCTAACCCTAACCATATCAGATAGTTACCAGGGTACGTTCCGGTATACCGGACCGCACCCAGGGTACGTTCCGGCAGTAACCGGGGGAACATCTATAGACTCTCTATGAGCGCTACTGTGGCCTATCGCTAGGCAGCCAGTGGACGCTGCAGAACACACACGCGCACGCGCACGCACACGCACACGCACACGCACACGCACACGCACACGCACACGCACACACACACGCACACACACCACGACACACACACCACACACACAAACGGCGGCGCATCGCGTTGCAGACGAGTGCAGGCGCGGGGCGGATCTAGGGGAGTGTCCAGGTGGTCCAGAACCCCCGCCTTTAATTCCAAAGCCCCAAGAGTCAGTCTGCCTCAGATGCTCTCAAATGCACAATTTTTTTCTTTCTTGCGAGGGAGGACCTCCAACCGCCCCCCCTAAGTGGCATGACAGCTGCCTTCGGCAGCTTTTTAAACACCAGAAGAAATTCCAGCAGAAAAAGTGCCCTTTATTCTCCAGGTAAACCCCCCGTTTCAAAAATCCTGGATTCGCCCTTTAATTGGGTGGTCTGTGCCAAACCAACAACTGAACAGCCCAGCGATGAGCAGTAGACCAGCTGGGTCGGCAGCTGCCAGGAAGATAACCTTCTAGCCGAGAAACCCTCTGTGAGAGGCCAGCGAGAAGATGGCTGAGACGGCGCCCTCTCGTGGGGCTGCCCGCTGTGGATGACGGAGACGAAAAATGCCGGGGGAGGGGGTCGGCGCTTGCGCAATGAGAAAAATGCAACAGATATATTGGCGGCAGTTCGTGTTCTGAAGTAACAAGGTCAAGAAGCAGAGGCACGGAGGGGTGGTTAGAGTTTAAACTGATCAGCTACTGCTTTCCGCTGCTCACAGGCCTATCCACTGCCAACTTGGTTCATTTCGTAAGGTTCGGAATTTCAGGGAACATTAATTGCCTCCGGCTTCCGAATAACCGAATTCATGTCGGGCTAGGCATAACACACCTTTACCTTAAATTAGCTGTCTGACATTTTCGCACCTCTCACCTTGTCAATACACATGATATCGCGGGTTTGACAGTGCAGGCTCATACGCTCGAAGGTTACCACGGAAAAAGCAACGTGATGTTCTCAGGTTAAAGGTCAGCAGAATAAAGTTATATGGCATAATGTGAGAGCTGGGTTCAGTTTTTCAGCACATGCAGGATATATTTTAACTTTGTAACTACACGATAGTATATTATATCGAGTTCAAGAATGCGAGGAACCTGGCAAGAAGTGCAAGTATATCTGCTATATAAGCTGCACCTTTCAAACTTTCACTCATATATATGCTGTTAACGGTGCACCTAAAGCTGGAAATGACACACACAACACACACACACACCAGTGACACGCAGCACACCACACGCACGCAGCGCACACAACCCAGACACACAGCTGACACATACACACAACACGCCTCATGCTGCATGCAGGACTCACATGGTGCGAATTCACGGGGAGTCTGGAGTCAAATACTCCCCCGATTTTACTGGCCGGACCTCCCTGACTTTTTGACATATGCAGGAGTCACGTGTAACTCCCTGAAAATTCTGCCCATACTAACTAGTTCTTTCAAGGCAACGGGCCCTCGCGGAATTTACCATATTTTCTCAGCTAATGACCAAGAAAATTTGGCAGACGTGCAACCGCATGAATCTTAAAAATAAGCACAATGTATGCGTTATTGTAAAATATCCTTTAATATTGAACTTCAGACTTGCGGACTCCCTTCATTTTTGCTTGCCGGACTCCCTCTTTTGAGGGTAGGGAGTCCGCTTGGACTCCCGTGTTAAAAGTTAATTTCTATCCCTTGGACTCACATGATAGTTGCACACACAGCGCAAAACTTGGCACAAGCGGCGAAAATCTTGCAATCGTGTATTTAGCGTGCCACAAATTTCTCAAGAACTAGCGTGTAGTAGTAACATTGGCACCGTCCCGCGAGTCGTGACCTAGTGGTTGCTGCCGGCCACACTGCCCACCTGATTGGCCGTTTCAAGCCGAGCTGGGACGGTCCTCAGACGCTTTGTTTTTTTTTTTTTTTTTTTCCAGCAACGAGACATCACATGTTTGCGTCGCCCTCCCGGACCGATTTGGCTCGCCGATTATAGGGATGGCGCCTGTGCTGCTATCAGCTGTTCGAGGTTCGGACTGGGCATGCTGTAAATGAGCGGAGGCATGCAGAGGTTGTAAGTGTGTTCCGCGTAAGGACGTAGCATTCCACACGAAAAACGGACACACAAACGCGAGTCGATGCGCGCACAACGGCACTTGCTGCGCCCGAATCGGAAAGAACTGCGGGCAACAGAAGGCGTGAATTTTGTTGCAACCGTCTCTTTATATCAACAAGACGAATCACGTTCTTCTCTCCCTCCGCCCACCCCGGCTCGTTCCTTGCCTACCTTCTCTTTCATCTGCCCTCCCCGCCCCCTCCCCTATCATCTTCTGATGGCCGCTTTACTTGTCTCCGCTCCCTTTCAACTGTTCCTTTCTCGCTTCTCCCTCCTCCCCGCTCCTGCCCACTAACTCGCCAGGCTGACCACTCG